ACTGGACAATAGAAGATTGGAAAAACCACATTCAGATGGAAGCATGGATCCATCCTGCCTTGTATCAATGGTTCAGGCTGCTGCTGGTGGTGTAATGGTGTGGGGGAGATTTTCTTAGTACCAACTGAGCATGGTTTAAACACCACAGCCTACCTGAGTATTGTTGCTGACCGTGTCCATCCCTTTATGACCACAGTGTACCCATCTTCTGATGGCTACTTCCAGCAGGATAACACACCATGTCACAAAGCTCAAATCATCTCAAACCTGACAATGAGTTCACTGTACTCCAATGGCCTCCACAGTCACCAGATCTCAGTCCAATAGAGCACCTTTGGGATGTGGTGGAACGGGAGATTCTCATCATGGATGTGCAGCCAACAAGTCTGCAGCAACTGTGTGATGTCATCATGTCAATATGGACCAAAATCTCTGAGGAATGTTTCCAGCACTTTGTTGAATCCTTGTCACCAAGAATTAAGGCAATTCTGAAGGCAAAAGGGGCCCAACCTGGTACTAGTAAGGTGTACCTAATAAAATGGCTGGTGTGTATATATGGGGTAGCTGTGGCTCAGGAGGTAGAGCAGGTCATCTACCAATCAGAAGATCGGCGGTTTGTTCCTTGGGAAAGATACTGAACCCCAAATTGTGAACTGCTTTGAATGGTCAGAAGACTAGAAAGGTGTTATACAAGTGCAGGTACATTCACCATAAAGAACTATAAGAAAATAACATTTATTTTACTTGTATATCGTTTTTACCAAAGAACCTCTGACTTCTTTGTGACCCAAACCAGACCTTGAATCGAACATCCCACCAGGTGTGAGTGTGTGAGAGTGTATTAGGTCTGATTTAACCACTTGTTAAACACTGTCGTTGTTTTCCTCCTGTCAGGATCTGAAGGACGTCGGTCGCAATCAGCCACTGGACTCGGCTCTGCTGCCGGAGAACCGTGGCAAGAACCGTTACAACAACATCCTGCCCTGTGAGTGACACACATTAACACACAGAGAAGAAGCAGAAGTAGTCCTGTGTTACTGACTCTGTTTTTGTGTTCAGACGACTCGACGAGGGTGAAGCTGTCTTACGTGGATGATGATCCATGCTCTGACTACATCAATGCCAGCTACATGCCTGTAAGATCCAAACAGTCATTCTTCGACTCATCATTTTAAACTCTGTATCTACTTATTGCATCACTTGAAGCTGTTCTCTGTTCTGAGCCACATTTAAACCTATGATGTAGCTTTTCCATCACCTCCGTCAGCTCCGTCAACTGTGTTAATGATGTGTTTCAGGGGAATAACTTCCGGCGGGAGTACATCGCCACGCAGGGTCCTCTGCCGGGAACTAAAGATGATTTCTGGAAGATGGTTTGGGAGCAGAATGTCCACAACATGGTGATGGTCACTCAGTGTGTGGAGAAAGGAAGGGTGAGTGTAAACAGCCCCACCTGTCATCTGTGTGAAGCCTCAGCGGTACTTAACCTGTGCTCCTCTTCCTCACCTGTGTCCAGGTTAAGTGTGACCACTACTGGCCCTTTGATCACGACCCTCTGTACTACGGAGACCTGATCGTCCAGATGTTGTCGGAGTCTGTCCTTCCTGAGTGGACCATACGAGAGTTCAGCATCTGCAGCGTACGTCATGTTCAGTCATCAGTTGTTCCACCAAATTAACTCTGGGTGTTGAACCGGTTCTGTTCAGGACTCTTGGAGCCTTGGTGCTATTTGGCGAGCCAGCCCACGTTTCCACCAGTTTTTGAGAGGAACCATTACCGTAAAACTTCAGTTTGTTGCCCAGGCTGTTATATGCATAAATGGCTTATATTTGGGACAGGCCTTTAATTCTTTTATGCAAAACTGTTGCTCAGCAAAGATCGGGAAATACAATCAGACCGTTTATTTGAACCAGTATGTATATTACTGGTATAAAAGTAAGTATATAACATCAGTTATGTGTTATAACACTTGTTTTATGGCACCCTGCATACCGAAACAACACCACTTTATCCTGCTAAAACAACGCTCACAACTTGCGGCCTAAAGGAATATAAGTAACTTATGGGGTAATCGAGGAATTGACACATATTCTCACTTTATGACAGCTTCAGAGGAAGGGAGTCACCACTTGTTTTTTCGTCATGCTGGACAATGCGAATGACTCACGGTCTTCTCTGGTGCTCATAGTTTCAGTAAAATGAAATCAATGAAGCTAACGATATGTAGCATCTCCATAATGACAAAAGTTTAAACGTTTTTAAGAGTTCCTCATTCTGAAGTTGTTGAAATCTGACACTTGGGCGGTGACTTGCGGCGTCATAAAAAAGCTGTTCTTTAATGTTGATATGATACGCGGCTGGTTGCCATTATAGTTTAACGGCGTCCGGCGGCTTCAGGGAGAAACTAGGCGGGACAAGGACGAAAGTTAAGGTGGCAAAGGTCCCACTGGGGCTGGCGGGAGGGGTGATGGATGGGTCCAACAAACAATGACTCTCACCCAAGAGGGCGGTGTTTGTGTCCTGTAAGATTCTAAAGCCAAACCCTGTTCTTTTTTCCTAAACCTAACAACGTGTTTTTGTTGTTGATGGAAAAGAAAGGTCAAATTTGTGGTGTTGTACTGACTAAGTGCATTTATTTTGAAAGAGACTGTATGTAAATGGTACATTTCCTGTGAAATGGAAGTGTATTTTGAGAGAAGACAATGCATGTAGCGGGCAGAACTTGACACGGTGTCCCAGAACGTCAACAACCAGCACACCCAGGGTACCTTGCACGTCGTGCGTAGACGTGAAAAGTCCATGACCAAGTGACGATATGTGATCTAAACAGCAATCCAGTTTTCTATATCCAAAGAACTTCTATAAAAATTAACTGCTTGGTGACCAAACAAGGCGTTTAACTGAGACAGTGACGTGAAGGATCATTTTAATGCTGTAACCCTCTGTGTGTGTCAGGAGGAGCAGCTAAGCTTCACTCGGCTGGTCCGTCAGTTTCACTACACAGTGTGGCCGGATCACGGCGTCCCAGAGACCACGCAGTCCCTCATCCAGTTCGTCCGGACTGTTCGGGATTACGTCAACAGAAGTCCTGGATCGGGACCGACTGTGGTCCACTGCAGGTACACAACAAGGACTCAAACAGGAACTTCACATGAGTAGGCGACATGACATGTAGAGTCACTTTATTACATCATCTGTTGATCTCGTCCCTGAGACAGAGTCCTGCTCGTTATTCATTATGTGTTACAGTCAGTGTGTTTTAACTGGAGTTTGATATGTGTGTGTGTGTGTGTGTGTGTGTGTGTGTGTGTGTGTGTGTGTGTGTCAGTGCTGGAGTGGGTCGTACGGGAACCTTCATCGTTCTGGATCGAGTTCTGCAGCAGCTGGACACCAAGGACACGGTGGATATCTACGGCGCTGTCTTTGACCTGAGACTTCACCGATCACACATGGTGCAGACGGAGGTAGGACAGCGCTGTCAGCAAAGGATTATGGGAGTTTTAGTGTGTGTGTTTACAGTGATAAAACTCAAATATGTGTGGACTACAGTACACATATTTAATTTAATTTAATTAAATTTAATTTTATTTTATTTTATCTTATTTCATTTTATTTTATTTCATTTTATTTTATTATGGAGTCATTTCCGCCATTCCATCATTCCCTTGATACAAGTTAATGTGACATAGTTTCTCCTCCACCCCCTCGGTGTCGGTATGTGTACCTCCATCAGTGTTAATGTGACATAGTTTCTCCTCCACCTCCTCAGGGTCAGTATGCGTACCTCCATCAGTGTGTTCGTGACGTCATCAGAGCCAGGAAGCTCCGCAGTGAGCAGGAGAACCTCTGCCCCATCTATGAAAATGTGAACTACAGCTCCCAAAGAGGTGAGTGACCATCAGACTCCACCTGCAGCTCACCTAGAGACATTAGAGTTAAAATAACTCATATATATAAATAAACAAATTGATCTTCTTCCACAGAGACGCTGTGCACCAGACGTTAAAGATTGTACTGACTACTGATCAATATGTTTGACTACTGATCAATATGTTGAGCACTACTGGGAAACCCAATTTCTATTTTTATATCAGTGTTTTATATTTGAAACATCAGATGTTTCCAAACAGAGTAAAACTTTATTTATGTAACATGCAGGATTAATATCAACAGAACTGTACATATACTTTATATCTGTGTGTATTTGTATATATTTTAAATATATATATGATATATTTCTATATCTGCTGCTTTTTAAATTATGTATCGTCTTTGTGTTTTATGAGCTTTAATATTTGCACATTGCAGTTATCATAGAGAACATCACAAGCTTCTGTAAACTCTGTTTGACATTGAAGGCCTGCTGTGGTTTTCTGATTCATGATGATGATGATGCATCATGCTGAATCAGCAGCTAATCTTTTTTAATATATGATGATAAGTGATTGATGATGAATGAATGAGTCAGTGAAGGGGCGGACAGACTGTTCAGGGTCTGCTGTGGCTTCTTCTCATGATCCATCCATGTCATGATGTCCTCTGTGACAGTAAATATTCATGAGCACATGTGCAGGTTTTATTTATTGACAGTTAAACACTCTGAAAGTGTTTTTGTTTATTAGATTTAATTGACAACAAATTGATTCACATGTTGTTTTTAACTGCACTCTAAATCAGTGAGAAAAGCAGAAACGTGTCATGTAAAATACCCCAAACTGAAACATTTACACTGAAACATTTAACTACACACAAAAGCTTTACATCTGTCACTTTTAAAAAGAAGCTAAAACGAAAATGTTCTTTTAAATATTCAAGAAGTGCATTAATTTTGTAGTGTTGATTCGGCAGGGTCAAGAGAAATGTGTGTTTTAATCATAAATGTATGTAAGATATCATTTTAAATGTGCATAATGTATTTTATTTTTTACCACTTTAACTGTATTTTATTTTGTAAGAACATGCTGTGTGTGAGAGCGGTTAATTAAACACCAAAGAAGAAGTAGACATATGTTATTTCTCTCATTATTTATCCGTAATGACACATAGCTGCTCTGACGGTCACATTTATTATATTTTATGGTGGAATCTACACTCCAGAAAATAATCCGCTGGTTCAACTTTAAAAAATTAAGGCAACAATTTGCATGCACTTTTTAAAGCAGTTCCAACTCTAACTGACAAACTAATTTACTTCAACCTCGAAAAATGTTGTAGTGAAAAGTTGTGGCAATTTTTAATGGTCAAACTATTTTATTTAAGATGATCTAATTTATTTTAATTCCTTTCTATTTAAAAATGTCAAACATGTTTTCGACTGACTGAAACAGTAATTATTTATGCTGAAAACGTCTTTATTTTAAGCATCCACCAACCCTATGGTTTATTTTTTAGAGTGTAACTAAGTACATTTACTCAAGTACAGCTTAAAGGTACTTGTGTTTTACTTAAAGCGATAGTGCACCCAAAAATGAAAATTCAGCCATTATCTACTCACCCATATGCCGAGGGAGGCTCAGGTGAAGTTTCAGAGTCCTCACATCACTTGCAGAGATCCCAGGGAAGAGGGGGTAGCAGCACAACTCCACCTAATGGAGGCTGACGGCGCCCCAGATTCAAACGTCCAAAAACACATAATTGAAACCACAAAATATCTCCATACTGCTCGTCCATAGTGATCCAAGTGTCCTGAAGCCCCGACATAAAAAGTTGTTTGGAAAAACATCATTTGAACTCTGTTTTTAGCCTTATGTCGTCGGGGCTTCAGGACACTTGGATCACTACGGACGAGCAGTATGGAGATATTTTGTGGTTTCAATTATGTGTTTTCGGACGTTTGAATCTGGGGCGCCGTCAGCCTCCATTAGGTGGAGTTGTGTTGCTACCCCCTCTCCCCTTGGATCTCTGCAAGTGATGTGAGGACTCTTTAACTTCACCTGAGCCTCCCTCGGCATATGGGTGAGTAGATAATGGCTGAATTTTCATTTTTGGGTGCACTGTCCCTTTAAGTATTTCCATATTATGTTACTTTAAACTTCCACACCATCTCAGGGTTGAATATTATATTAATGTTATAATATTATTACTTCCTGTCCAGTGAAAACCACGTATCTCCAGATGCACTGATGTTGAAATGTTTGTTATGAACAGAAGGATGAAGTGTTCCTCTGTGTGTTGAAAAAATAGTCCTCCTTCTTAAGCTAAATAATCTCTATAAACCCTCTTGGATCAGCTGGAAAATGTATCGTCACAGAGCTGAAAACAGCCTGCAGTAATATTAATCCAGGAACATCAGATATAACAGCAAAACACTGACAGTGTGGAACAGATTACTAAAATGTACATACTTTTACTTTAACTACTGTAAGTTGCTGATTATTTATACTTTTACTTCAGTGAGGTTTTAAATGCAGGACTTTTAATTGTAGTGGAGTATTTCCACAGAGTGGCATTACTACTTTTACAGCAGTAAATGATCTGAGTACTTTAGATATGCAATAATAATAAAAAAGAGATGACTCTCTGTTAGTCACTCTTTTTATTTGATAAAACATAAGAACATGCAAATAGAATAATAAGAAAAGAGCCTGGGGTTTATCACACCAAACAAAAATACTATAAAACAGAAAGATATTAAGTGTCTCGGTTGCTTTTTTGTTCGTTGAATTAGAAAGTAGTTAGAGCTCAACGTCCTTCAGGATAAATACAAAATATTTTTTTTATTGCTAAATTCACATTTATTGATAAAAATAATGTCAGAATCACTATCAAATTTATTATAAACTAAATATTTGTACGTAATTTTGACCATATATTTCCATAACATATCTTACGTCAGACTAGTGGAAAGAAAATGTCCAGAACACATATTTATGTTCAGATTTCTATAGTGGAAATGTATTGAAAAACACATTATTGACTAGATAATGCCTCATTGGAATATGTAAACATAACATTTCAGAGATCTTGTAACATAGAAAATAATTGTCTTAGTGTAAGTAATCAACTAGGGAAGTTTCATGGTGATATCTATTAGTTAAAATTTGTACCCTAATGTCTTCTGTCTAAAAATACAATGCAATACCTATCTTTAAAGGTCATTTTCTCAAAGTGAACAACAAAGTACTAAATATATGGCAAAATGTACATCATATAAAGTTATATTTAAACATTTATTCATGTAATATTTAAACATTAACATTTCAGCAAATTTTTAATATAAAAATAGTTGTCTCACTATAACTCAACTTAGCTTCATGTATATAACACTCTCTCACAAACATGTAGCTCTAAGTGCTTCACAAAGCAAAACTGAAATAGTTGTTTGTTTTATCCTTTAAATTGTCTGTATCATTACAGTTTTGCCATGTGAAGCATTTTGAGATGCATGTTTGTATGAAAGATGCTATTTGAATTAAGTTAAGGAAAAAATCTCTAATTAAAAGTTTATAGAATAAAAATAAATATATAAATAAATAGATAAATAAAAAATAACGGCAGGGATAAGATAAGGTAAAAACCAATGATTAAACTTTAAATGAAGACTGTAATTCACCTCAAAATTAAAAAACAGATTAAAAAGGTTTAATCGGTTTTACTTTTAAAAAATACTGAAAGAGCTTGCCATTTCAATATCTTTACCGTCTTTTCTCTAAGTTCATTGTGCAATGTATTAGTTAAAAATGTTTCCCTATTCACCTGCAGTGTCTCCAAATTTTGGTGGAGAAAGGGTTTAATCTATAAAGCACTTTGGGTATGAAATGTGCTATGTAAATACATTTGCCTTGCCTTGGCTGTAAGAAACTAAATAGCATATTTTCCTACAGTAATGTAAAGTTGAGCTGAAGTGAATATTGATGAGAAAAGGAGCAGTTGGTGTTTATGTGTTTGGTAAGTGTTGTGAGTCACCCCTGTGTAATAATAATAAAGAAGAGTAATTATGTATATTTCCAGATGTTAGTCACTCATTATGAAGTCTCTGCTGGGAGAGGCCCGGCTGTCCCAAACCACAGGACCCGCGCATGCGCAGAGCTGCGGCTCTCCACCACATTGAACTCTCGGAAGTTTAGCCAAGTTGATTTAGCCCAACAGGCTAGCAGCAGAAAACACGGTCCGACCGCACAAAACTTGGTTTTCCCCGAGAAAAAAGTGCTTTTGGACGGAACCTCTTCCCCCGCAGTGAACCCCGGAGTACTACCGATGGATTTAAACCGTTTGTCGTCGTTTAATCTGCGCGAACAGGAGCGTTAGACCCGTCTGAAAGAAGTTGTGATTGTTTTTTTGGCGCTCTAGCAGCGCAGAGGAAAGATGGAGGATCTGCTGGTGTAGCAGCGGGCTAACGCTAGCTGGTTGTTGGTTTACTGGAGCTGCCTCACCACTGAGTGGATGTCCGGAAAGTTTGGAGGCTGTAATCCGACGCACTGACGGTGTAAGTATGTCTCTGTTAAATGTTACAGATTCACAGTAGGAGCAAGGCCAAGGAGCGGAATGCGTTGGTGTGTTGTCGGGACGCTAACTGTAGTTAGCCTCGGAGCTAATTAGGTAACTGAAATCAGTGTTAGCTTATTGAACCAGCAGAGAGGTCAGTTAGCTTTGTGCTAACTAGCTGCCATTACACTATCATCACTCTCCGGCTAATTACTAACTTATTCAGACTGGAGCTGATGTTAACGTAAAGTTACACCAACTTATAGTTAGTTAGCTAGTTAATTAGCAGGGTGACTAAGTTAGTTACGGGCAACCCAGCTGCTGCTCGTGGGATCTGTTTATTCGTCTGGTAAACACCCAGACACGGTTAACTGGGAACACTGGGAACTCACAGTGTGTATGGACCTTTAACAGAAAGTGATAGTGAACATTTAACACTGTCCCATTGTATCCCACTCACACTTCATTAAACCTGAAATCACAGGCAGGCCTCTAACTAATGACTGTTTTCATTGTTTACTAAGTTTATGAATTAACTTTTCTGTAATTCATTTTAAAACAGATTCAACTTTATTTCACTGAACAGAGTACAGGAACTGACTGAGACACCGTAATGCAGATTAGCCTCTAACCAGAAGTGTATAAATCAGTAATGTGCAGAGTAATATACAACTGTGTTGTGGTTATATAAATAATAAATAGTACAGGGTAGATATGAACATGCTAGACATATACATTGCAAGCAGCATGAGCAGCGTTTGATATATACACTGGGATATGTGCAGCTGATACAGTGGGCAATGACAATGCAAGTATAAATATATATAGAACAGTGCAAAGTGAAATATAGTCTGTGTCTGAATTAATGACACAAGTCAGCAAAGGTCAAAGTAATGTTTGTTTGTTCTGTGCAAAAGTCAAAAACTCTAAAACATCCGATAAAACAAAACAACAATCTAATATTTCAGAAGCTTTAAATAATAAATTGTGTGTTTTTTAGTTGTGGAATATTTTCATAATAATTTAACCTAAAGTATATAAATGTTAGTCAAACACAAATGAATGAGCATAAATACTAAACGTCTTCTGGTGTCAGAGTTTCTGTTTTATTTCACAATAAACTGGACATTTTGGATTTTTGGACTGACATGTCAGAGTGAATTATACCTTTAAAAACTGAGCACAGCTGCAGTCAGTGACTATTTTCATTGAGGAATAATCTCTGATAATTGATTTCTTCATCAAATGATAAACTGATCACTGTTTAAGATGTCAGAAAAGTGAGTCCTACTATAAAATGTTGTAATCTAGTGAAATGTCATTCACAGTCCCCCAGGGTCAGAGTGACATTGTCATGTTTAAAACCCAGATATATTCAGTTTATTGCGAAATATAATGAATGTTTACACATTTAAGATTCTGGATACAGTGAGCATTTCAGCATAATGACTGAAACTGTTAATTCATTATAGAAATAACTGATTTTAATTTTCTGTGGATTGACTAACAGCTCTGGTCTTCACTCTTTACACACACACTGAAACAGTTAGTTAATTAAAAAAATAGTTGGTTGATAGATAATTAACTGAAACTGTTTTGATCAATCATTTGTCATTTTTAAGGAAAAACATGAAAAACACTTGCAATGATTTGGTTTTATTTCTTTGATAGCGAGTCAAGTTTGGGACTTTAAGTTGACCAAAACAAAAAAAAAATAAACAGAAGTCGGCATAAAGAATATGAACCCTTTTAAAATATTAATTGAAATAATAGGTATATGATAATTTCATGACAATTAGAATAATATTGATATACACTGGAGACTTGGGACAGAACCTTATTTTTTATATATATATTTTTTACTCTTAATTTATGCTGGGATAATGTATTTTAAAAGATCAAAGTCTTGACTATTAATCCCTGTGATGATTTTATTTGTTCTTAAACAGCATTTTTTTGCAGCTGAAAACATGAATTTTATCAACTCTGTCAGACACACAAAAAGTCATGGCATCATATTATAAAATATGAAGGAAATGTTTATTAATTGTTGTTAAATACAACATAATCAAATGTTTGAAATCTTTTTATTAAGAAAATAAATACCAATATTGTAATTTGGCTTTGCAATAAACAACATACACTATTGAAACTTTTTACAGATCATCACGAACATTTATTTAATGATTGAACTCGGTTGATGTCTTAAAAAACATAAAGTAGTACACAAAAAAAACCCTGGAATAACACAGAAAGCCATTTTTGACCATGAATCTTCTCTCCTTTTTTTGGATTATTTAAGATTTTTACAGAAATCAGCTGTTACGTAGACAACTAAAAAAAATTTGAGAAGATGGGAGACTGTAACCAACCTGACAAACTTTCAAACAAAATCCCAGTAACTGTGAAAGACCTATTTCCCTCTGTCAGAATTCAACAGACACCATCAGTTAGAACCAGGAATGAGACAAAATACTGAAATTTTACATCTGTCAGCGTGGATGTCAGAGGTAATATCTGACGGAGTTGATGAAAAGTTATATATTTATTAATTTCACAGCAGCCATAGTGAGTAGCCTTTTTTTTAAGTTGCTAAGAGTTCTCCTAATGCAAATGACAATACTCATTTTTACCACAGTTCTTATTTAGTTTTGATTTAGAGGGGCTTACTAAGGTTAAGACACACCCGATAGCAATGCTATTTAATTAATTTATCAAAAAGTAGAAAGTTTACCAGGACTTGAGCAGCAGTCCCACCTTTTTGGAAACCAGGAAGTGAGACAGGAGTCCACAGGCTATAGCTCACCCTTTTTATGCCTGATTAATTGATGTATTCGTAGAAATCTGAGAGTTGACAAAAATCTGGGACACATCTTTAAAGGGCCAATATTTTCATAAAAAATACCGGGCGGGTTGAGAAATAAGGTGGAAGCACCGCTCAGTGCCACAGAGCTCTGTCGGCTTCCCAGCAAGTCGAAACAGTTGCTACAGTGCAGACAGTTTGGGTCTATCTGGTTTGTTTTCTATTCTGTTTTATTTTAGAAACAGGCTAGTGTCACTGATGTTTGTAAATTACATACTTAATCCACATATTTGTCAGTTGTGTCTTAACAGAGAGTGAAAGAGACAAGCAGACACACATATATGCACACACAAGGGAGCAGGCAGACTGACTGACAGACTTAGGTTTATGTGTGATTAGAAAAGAGCAGTGGAGAAGAATCGCTTGTTGACTGCAGCTTGATAAAGAAATTACAGTTTTGTTTTTAGCCCACAGAAAGATTAAAGTACGGATAAAAGGTAGGGTTGGGTGCCAGTACAGAATTCATTGTGCTAGTACTGGTATCACTTCAGATGTGAGCAGTACGCAGCCCTATTGACTGACAGTTTCAGGTGTGATATGAACTCGATGTAGCTCATGACTGACGATGTCACCTCTGATGTTTTCTGTCTGTGCAGAGCTGCTGTTCATGTTTACAGATAAACTTAAGCATGAGAGTCCCTCGGGCTCTGAGGATGGAACCAGGGCTACTGGAGGCAGGATCTAGGTGAGGACACCTCAACAGAAATGTCTCTTCAATATCACAGTGTTGTTGTTGTTGTTGTTGTTATGTTTTTTAAACGTGTGTTTGTTGTTTCCCAGAAATCAGATGGTGCTCTGAAGAAGCCATGGGTAGCTGTTTAAGCTGTCCAGAGAAAGAGTCAATTCCAGATAATCATCAAAGTAAATTCAAGGTGAGTTCATGCCTCTGCAGGATCCTCAGAGTCAGTCAGCATACACCCACATTATTCACCGTCACAGTCAGTTGGTGCACATTCTGGATTACTCAATATCACAGTCGCAGTCTGTACACATCCTGGATCATTTACATCACAGTCACAGTCTGTACACATCCTGGATCATTTACATCACAGTCACAGTCTGTACACATCCTGGATTATTTACCATCACAGTGAATAATCCAAGGTGTGTATTATCACAGTCGGCATACACCCTGGATTATTCTGTCGTGGCCTGATGATCTGTACCTGCCTCTGACTGTTTGTTGCTGCAGTTGTTGTGTACCTGCTTCTGACTGTATATATGTTGTGTACTTGTCTTTGACTGTGTTGTTGTGCACTTGTCTTTGACTGTGTGTTGTTGTTGTGCACACACTCTGACTGTGTGATGTTATTGTTGTGTACCTTTGACTGTATGTTGTTGGCGGTGTGTACCTTCCCCTGACTGTGTGCGTTTGTTGTGTACCTGCCTCCGACTGTGTGTTGTTGTTGTTGTTTACTTGTCTCTGAGTGTATGTTGGTGGTGGTGTGTATATTCCCCTGACTGTGTGGTGTTGTTGTTGTGTACATGCCTCTGACTGTATGTTGTTGTTGTTTACTTGTCTCTGATTCTGTGTTGATGTTGTTGTTGGCGGTGTATACATTCCCCTGACTGTTAATTTGTTTTGTACCTGCCTCTGACTGTGTATTTTTATTATTGTTGTTGTTTTCTTGTCTCTGACTCTGTGTTGTTGTTGGTCGTGGTAGTGGTGTGTATCTTTCTCTGACAGTATGTTGTTGTTGTTGTTGTTGTTGTGTACCTGTCTCTGACTGTGTTGTTGTTGTTGTTTACCTGCCTCTGTGTGTTGTTGTTGTTGTCGTTGTTGTGTACCTGTCTCTGACTGTGTTGTTGTTGTTGTTGTTGTGTACCTCCCTCTGACTGTGTGATGTTGTTGTGTACCTGCCTCTGTCTGTCTGTGTGTTGTTGTTGTTGTTGTTGTGTACCTGTCTCTGACTGTGTTGTTGTGTACCTGCCTCTGTCTGTGTTGTTGTTGTTGTGTACCTGTCTCTGACTGTGTTGTTGTTGTAGTGTACCTGTCTCTGACTGTGTTGTTGTTGTTGTTGTGTACCTCCCTCTGACTGTGTGATGTTGTTGTTGTTGTTGTTGTTGTTGTTGTGTACCTCCCTCTGACTGTGTGTTGTTGTTGTTGTGTACCTGCCTCCAACTGTGGTGGTGTTGTTGTGGTGTACCTGCCTCTGACTGTGTGTTGTGGTGTACCTGCCTCTGACTGTGTGTAGCTGTTGTTGTTTACATGGCTCTGTCTGTGTGTTGTTGTGTACATGTCTCTGACTGTGTGTTGTTGTTGTTGTTGTGTACCTGCCTCTGACTGCGTGTAGCTGTTGTTGTTTACATGTCTCTGACTGTGTGTTGCTCTTGTAGTTACCTGCCTTTGACTGTGTCTCATTGTATTTTACCTGTATAGGTGATAAACGTGGACGACGATGGGAACGAGTTGGGCTCAGGTGTGATGGAGCTAACCGATGCTGAGCTCGTCCTCCACACCCATCGCCGTGATGATGTCCGGTGGCCTTACCTGTGCTTACGGCGCTATGGCTATGACTCAAACCTGTTCTCATTTGAGAGCGGCCGCCGCTGCCAGACGGGTCAAGGTACGTGTCACATGACACTCGATAAAACTGTCTGGTTGAGTTTCACTTTCACTACGCCTGGCGTTCTGCTGCATCATCTGTGTCCAGGGGTCTGTTCCAGAAAGCAGGTGTAGTTAACTCTGAGTCTGATCCTGAACTCTGAGTCGATGAACCCTGCGATTGGCAAATTGAGTGTTTTCGGTTCCAAAACAGCTGACCAGAGTCAGTTCAATCAGCTCTAAGATGTTCACTCTGGGTTAAGCTCATTTGCGGTGAATGAGAAAAGCCATCATCAATCACATATTACGATTCACCATGGCAACAGCTCAGTAATAGGCCGGGCCTTAATTTTAATCCAATGGGTGTTGAGATGATAATAATTAGGATGGTGAGCTACGTCACCAGAGCTCGTCAGGATTATTTTAAGGCCTATATGTGGACCGTGCACATTTATCTTTAAGAAAATAGTCAGAGCAGGAAAATGTGTCAATAAGTTAACACAGTTTTATGACTTGATGCTGAAATTGTCCTGAGTAACAAATCAATATCCAGCCAGGATTTTGATTGTGACATACAGTAAACAGTGCTTTGATTTGGACTGAATCAATGAGGAAATAAAACAGTGTCTGGTTCTGTCAGAGAGAGGAGACGGACAGAAACTCAGGGTTTGTTGAAGAAAACCTGCTAGTTGTTGTAATGTTCACGTAGTACCACAGTAACTGACCCAGAGTTAAAGTTACCCCTCTTTGTGAAACGGAAAGTTCCCAGAGTTCCCCTCATCTCAGGGTTAACTTAATTAGAGTTTTTACTAAACCCGCTTTGATCCACACTTTGATACCGACTGAATCAATGAGCATCTTGCTGCTCCAGTGTGTGATTTTAGACAGCATGCTAGCATCTCAGAGACAAAAGAGGCATGACAGGTGTGACACGTAACTGTCAGCTTCTAGAGTCATGTGTTAAGTGTGCGTGGGCAGCTCTTTATAAACATTAATAATGGCATAACAATCACTAACCGTCCCTGTTATATGGCAACAATCTCATGCTCTGCTCGGAGGGTAAGGAGCTCCCTTACCTCATTGTTTTCCCAATTTCGGCTGCTGTTCATCTTTGAGTTATCTGCTAACTGCCACCAGCTGCTTTTTAAATCTCCTGCAGTGGGTCACACATAACATGTTGTCAATACATCACACCCTTGCTGCCCATGATCACGTCCTGCTGGCTGTCCCTTTTACACAGATGTTGCTTTAGTGCTGTTACTACCTCCATTGCTGGCTTTAAGGCGAGACAACTCTGTCCCCCCATCCCACGATTATACTCCTTATACAGGACAGTGACATGGCATAACGATGCCATATTCCCGCCTTGAACCGACTGTGTAAAAGGGGCTCAAGTTACTTCTCTTACTGGAACTGAAAACTCAGAGTTTTCACTAACCTGCTCTCCCAGACAGGCTGAACAACATGAACACAAACAGACAGCTGAGTTTTATTTCTGTGTTTTCAGGTATTTTTGCCTTCAAATGTTCTCGAGCTGAAGAGATCTTCAACATGCTGCAGGAGGTGATGCACAGCCACAGCATCAGCGTGGTAGAGGAGGCGGTGCTGGAGCCCAACCACCAGGCAGCACACACTCCTGCAGGTAAACATACACACACACACACACACACACACACACACACACCCTTTACATGAGGCATCCTGAAATTACTTTACAGTCATTAAATTGCACGTATCTCCATGTGTGTCTGTTTGTGCGTGCGTGTGTGTGTGTGGTCAGCTCTGGGTTACTCTGTGCCCACGGTGCCTAACGGTGTGACCAGGATCCCGTCTGTGGGTGAGGCACCGTCTCACCCCTCCACCCGTCACCCATCTGTGGCCAGCACCCGTCTGCCCTCTGTGGGAGAGGAGTCCACTCACCCTCTGCTGGTGGCTGATGAAGCAGTGAGTCACACACACTTCCTGTTCGCCATATTAATACTGATCATTACTAATCATCCAGACAAGAAGTGTTTGGTCTGTTGGATCAGATTTAACAGGTTGATATCTTTTATCAGCTGACTCCAGTCTGTAAGGTTAAACCACAGATGAAGAAACATAATCAGTACTTGGATGTGTTTATTTATTTAACAACAAAACTATAGCTTTTCAAAATAAAATACATAGATTTAGATGAGACAGTAACATTACTCTGAAAAATTAGTAACGGTAAATAATGTACTTCTATTGAAACAAAGAACAAATATCAAGGTGAATGTCTCATCTAATGATCTAATGATGCTCTCATAATGATGTAATGACCCCGCTGTGGTTTCCTCCGTGCAGGTTCACACCTACGTGAACACCACGGGGCTCCTGGAGGACCAGCCCAGCCCTCTAACTGTCACCACCCCTCTGGAGAGTCCCACCTCTCCTCAGTCTCAGTGTCCTCCGACCCCTCCGCCTCCTCCAAGGGTCCGCACCGAGCCGCCGGCCCCGCCTGCTCAGCCGGAGCCCCAGGTGCTGCTGGAGCCTCAGGGGGTTCGCTTCGTGCTGGGCCCCACCCCTGTTCAGAGGCAGCTGATGGAGAAGGAGAAAAGACAGCAGGAGGCCAAGGAGGCCGAGGAGCCCCGAGACACTAACGGCCACACCGAGGCCCCCGCCGAGGCTGAGCCGGCCCCCCAGCTCTCCAACGGCTCCTCCTCCAATCCCTCCACAGCTCCTCGCCGCCACCGCCCGCCCCCCCTCACCCCCGACCTGCAGAATGTCAACAACTCGGCCCAGCGGCGCACCGCCCTGCTGGACTACGAGAACCTGCCGGCACTGCCGCCGGTGTGGGAGGCAAGGAAGCCGAGCTCGGAGGAGGAGGAGAACGGCTGCAGCGGCCTTAAAACGCCATCGCTCAATGGCTACAATCACCACCCCCACCATGGCCTGCTGCACCACTCCTACTCCCACCCTCTGTCCGCTGCCCTTGAGTCTTCACACAACTACGTCAACACAGAGAATGTGACGGCGCCGCTCAGTGCCCACCGGCCTGAAACGGCACGGCGCCGCACAGATGGACCGACCATCTTCAACTTCGACTTCCGCCGGCCGCCGCTACCGGGTCACCCAGAGCCGCCCAAAACGCTCAACTACATCGAGGTGGAGATGGACAACAGTGCGGGGAACAAGGGTGCTTCAGATGGCAGCAACCCCCACACGCCCCGCACCCCCACCTCCCCGCTGCCCCCCACTACCCCCACCCGCCGCACCGAGCTCTACGCCCTTATCGACATCGAGCGCACTGCCGCCATGTCCAACCTGCAGAAGGCCCGGCCGCGAGACGACGGCACGTCACGCAAGACGCGACACAACAGCACGGAGCTGCCCACCAAAAGCACTGCGTGACACGCACCTTCCACTTCCTGTTAACCATTTGTGTTGTTTGATAAGACGGACGGAGCTTCTTTATATTCCCACAAGGAGACAGTGACAGACTCCACCAAGTCTTACATGACTTAATGACTTCCTGTGCGGCCACCTTCGCAAGTGGGCTGTCACAAATGAACCTAGGTACTTGCCATATAGCGGTTTCTTCCTACGGTGATGTAATACCTCTGTTGGGTTGATGTTAATGAGACTGGACTGCATTCCTCTCCTTATATGGTACAAATCAGTATTACTGAACAAAGCATTCCATTTAGCCTTTTTATATGATTCACTACATGCTGCTGTAATTCAGTATCTAAGGATGACATGGTACACCACATTATGTTTCTGAATATGTACAGTAGATTCTGGCACAATAAATGTCTGTTCTGTTTTTATTTGTACTCGTGGAGAAGAGGCTCAGGTCATCATTCACTTCAGTGATCAGACACACACGTCACAACAACACGTATCCAGAATCTCAGCATTGCATTGTTAACTTTTCAGATTAGTCAGATATATTGAGTAATAGGGCTGGGTTAAAATAATCGATTCATTCATTTCAAACTGATAATTTGAATGATCCGGATTCTTAAAATCTGAGCTCGATCTTCTAAAATATTTTTAAACCAGTCCTAGAGCTGAAATAGTAAAAGACTTCAGTATTGGTCGATGATACCGGTTCTTTTATCTGTACTTTTGAATGTTTTTGTGTAATTTATTATCACACTGCAGCCTCTCCCCTGCTCTCTCGTCCCTTTTCGACAGTCATGGCCTGGCTTGGTTTGGCTTGGCTCGGTTTGGGTTGGTTTGGTTTGGGCTGTCAGCCCAGCACAACAGGGATTTGCATTTCCATTACAACATGGCTGCCTCCTTGAAGGTGTGTCTTTAACTGATGACGGCTGACGTTTTAAAGCAGCAGGCTGATCCACAGCTAAAGTCCCCTGTTATTTTTGCTACATGTGTTTTTCCACAGCAGGGCAGGTAAAAGAAGTTTACCTGTTGGAGGTGAGCTGTTTGCAGAGGTGCAGTAAGAGCCTGTTGTCTGAAGCTCTTCCTCAACATCTCACTGTGGCTGTTTCTGATCATACTCTTCCTCCCTGCTGTATTATTAGACTTGTCTTTATTGAAAAGAAGCTGCTAACAAAGTTTTGCTTATTCAGTAATAACACATTTCATTTCCTATAGATTCTTCACAATAAAAGCCCCACATTATTTTGTTATGTAAAAACTTTTATCGTGAAGCAGCAAAATAAGGAGATGTTGAGCTTTCCAGCAGCAACTTCACACATCTTCTAATATGTCTGAAAGGGAACATGAAACAGTAAAATAAAGCAGATATCTAAAGGAAAAACAGGACGCAGGAGAGAAACTAAACTCCAAACCACAGAGATTCAGTTAGAAGTTAAAGAAGTACTGAGAGACTTTTAAAAGTGCCTTTCTCTCTGGTCTCCTGTAGATAGCGGTGAGGAGAGAGGGGGAGAACAGGGGTCGTCGGGGGTTAGTGAGGCGTCACTGCTACCCACTTAAGGGCAGGCGGCCTGGCTTTTGGGCCTGTTCCTGAAAAGGTCCATGTCTGGCGCGGCTTGGCATGGCACAACGTGCTTAAACTGACAATGGAAACGCAAATAGGTGCTGTATGACTTTAATCGTCGTGGCCAGGAGTAACAACGGAAAGAGGGTATCTGTGTGTTGGGGCTGCTCCTTCACACACAAACCGAGTGACCAGCAGAGTAGAGAGGCTGCTATGGAGGCAGAGAAGTGAAGATAACTTGAGTTGATGACAACTAAGCTTGTTGTAGTGCAATGCAACCTTTGTGAGTAAAGCCAATACTTAATCAATACCCCTGTTAAATGAGCATAAACACGTAGAACAGTAATATTTTAATCTGCTCTGCCTGCAGTCTCACATCCAGCATTGTTGCCTTGCAGTAACAGGCCTGTGGATATTCTCATTCATCCAGGTCATAGTTATCTCAAGGCAATTGAATCGAACACAACTGGACTGGACACAAGTCCAGTTGTGTTCGATTCAGTTGCCTTGAGATTGCAGTAACAGGGTTCCTGGTTCAAATCCAGGGTTGGGGGGTTTGAACCCAGGGTGGGGGAGCCCTTCTGTGTGGAGTTTGCATGTTCTCCCTGTGTCCGCGTGGATTTTCTCCAGGTACCTCAGCTTTTTTTTTGCCTGTGAATGTGAGTGTGAATGGTTGTCTGTCTCTGTCTCAGCCCTGTGATAGTCTGGTGACCTGTCCAGGGTGAACCCTGCCTCTCACCCAGTGTCAGCTGGGATAGACTCCAGCCCCCTGCGACCCCCAACAGGATAAATGGTCATGGAAAATGAATAGCAATGAAATACTTGACTCTGAAAATCATCATGATGTTTAAATTCTCAGATTACCAGACTAGGTGGTGCGTTCAGGGGATGTCGGCAGAAAGGGAAGGAATACGATAAAAAGCCACACTAGATGAACAGCGTGAATCAGCTTCTTTGCAGTTTGTTATCAAGTGAAACCAGATGCCAGCTGCTGTGGAACAGGCTGAATTGATTATATTAGTGTTAATATTGGATTTGGATGCAACATGCGCAGCTGTCTGTTAATGTATCTGTAGTTTTCATTGAGTGGGAGAAATTGTCTTTGACTGAAGTTGAATCACAAGTCAAGGCTGAGCGGGATGTTTTTTTCCCACTCAGCTGCTTGTAATTACAGTTTAACTGATACAACCTCAACACAGCGTCATTTGAGGAACTTGTTTGCGAAGTGACAGAATGGATAAGTGGTGATCTGCAAGTGATGGTAATCTTGTGTGTTGACAGTCTGACTGGTGAAGTAGACAGCTGTTGTTACAGGAAACATTTCTTGTCGATCTGTGAAGATAGTTTTTGGTTTTTATACTTCCAGTTTTACTGAAGTCTGTCTCCACCATGAGGACAACATGGAGCTGAGAGCTGAGTTTGTCCAGTGTTTGAAAATTACATTTGCAAATGTTGGCAGTAACTTGTTTTCCCATAAACTGCCTCACTGTGAATGTTTTTTATTGGAACTACTGAAGAAATAATCATGTTACTTCTGAAAATCTGGTAAAAAACAAACAAACCCAAATCTATCTCCAAAATTTAACCTTGAAGGTATTAAATGTATTTTTATGATGAAATATTTCAGGTTTTATTTTAAGGGGAGCGGTTTGGATCAGAGAGAAGGGATGCTGTTTCCATGACAACAAGCATCCACCCCACTGAAGAATCCCTGAACTGAAACTTCATATTCATCTTTAACATCTCACTAATGCCAAAATCCATCCATCCATTCTCATTCTTTTATCTGATGTCAGGTCATGGGGACAGCAGGCTGAGCAAAGTACTCCAGACTTCCCTCTCTCCACCAATGCTTTTCAGCCCCTGCAGGATCCCAAGGTGTTCCCAGACCAGATGAGTTATCCCTCTAGCGTGCTCTGGGTCCGCCACAGTGCCACCTATAGGATGAGCCTGGAAAACCTCCAATGGGAGGCACCCAGGAGGATCCTGGTCAGGTGCCTGAACTACCTCAGCTGACCCCCTTTGACGTACAGGAGCAGCAGCACCCTATAGAGGAAACTCATTTTGGCTTCTTGTATCAGTGATCTGATTCTTTGTGTCACTACCCAAAGCTCATGACCATAGCTGAGAGTTGGGACATTGAGGAACCGGTAAATCGAAAGTTTCGCCTTCAGGCTCAGCTCTTTCTTCACAGTGACAGTCCAGCGCAGCACCTCCATCACTGCTGAGGCTGCACCAAACTACTTGTCCATCTTACGCTCCTCTTTACCTTGACTTGTGCACAAGAATCTGAGACATTTTGCTCAACCCAGAGGGGGAAATCCACTGGTTTCTGGCAGAGAACCATTGCCTCACACTTGGAGGCCCTGACTCTCATCCCGACCGCTTCACTCTTGCCTGCAAACCGCCCCAGTGCATGTTGGAGGTCACAGTGTGATGAAGCCAACAGAACCACGAGTCCATAACTGATTTTTGGCCTAGGGTCTTCTGGTACCAAGTACACTTATGAACCACCCTGTGCTGCAATGTTTGTTACAGCCAATCCATGACTAGCACAGAAGTCCAATAACAAAACACCACTCGGGTTTAGATCAGGCATGCTGTTCCTCTCAATCACCCCTCTCCAGGTTTCTCCATTGTTGCCCACGTGAGCACTGAAGTCCCTCAAAAGAACCCTTTCCAGGACTAACCCCAGAGACTCCAAGTAGGCCGGGTACTCTGAACTGCTGTTTGTTGCAAAAGCTCAAGACCTCTCGCATCAAATCGACCCTTGTGTTCCTGGGGAGAGCTCCAACACAGTGGCACTCAGCTGGGGGCTCACACGCATCCAGCACCTCTCCAGGAATTTGGTTCCAGAACTGTTGCAAAGTGTAGAGGTGAGTCCAATTATTTCTAGTTGGTACCACTCCACGTCCTCTCTTGCCAGAGGGCGACATTCCACGTCCCTAGAGCCAGTCTGTGACACCAGGTATTAACACATGTGGGTCCCTGCCCCTGCGCCAGGCCCTACCCCTGCCCCTGCTCCTGCCCCTGCGGCCCAGTTTCCTCATTCCGAGCAAGGTACTCCAGCTCCTTTTTGCCAAAGTCAACAAGGTCTTTTTAATTGCTCTTAGTCCAGCCTCTCCCATGGGACCACTTTGCCTTGGGAGACCCTACCAGGGGCTACTTAGCCCGAATAACACAGCTCCCAGGGTCACAGGAACATGCAAATCCCTCCACCAGGTTAAGGTTGCAATTCTCTGAGTTCCGCTCAGTAAACAAGGTATGTAAACAGTCCTCACAATGACGGTGCAGTGTTACAGAACATACAGCTAGGACACACTTAAGTTTGATCACACAAAAAGAGAAGTCAAAGTATGTCATGTGTAAAGTCAAAAAAAATCATGTCAGAGTGATATGTATGTAGAAGAGATTGTAGGATAGTATGTTAATAGAGTATGTAGTAAAAAACATATAGAAAAGTTATAGTATGTCAGCAAATATATGGAAAAACAAATTGCAGTATGCCATAAAAATAAAACTATGAAGCCATAGTATCTTGTGTCAGTTTAAAAAGAAGTCAAAGTATAGTTTCTCAAAAATTTTACATAAAAAAAGTAATACTAGGATATAACAAAAAATATATAAAAAGTCATAGTATAGAATGTTAAAAAGTGTACAGCCATAGTCTAGTATAGTGTCATAAAAAAACTATTTGAAAAAAAATCATGTTCTAGTCAGTGTCTCTGGAATGTGGAAAAGTTGCGATTTCAAAAATTGACGTAAATTCAGCCAATCACTGTGAATTCTGTGTGACCTCGCAGGTTTCAATTGAAAAATTTCAATGTTATTGAAAAAACAAAAACAAAAAAACAGCTGTAAATATTGCAA